ATTGTACTTCAAGCCACCCGCAGGCAACTGTAGCAACAATAAAGGGAGCAAAGCACCCACCTCCCCCTCTGGAGAATCCTCTTCACCAAAGAACCAGAAGATTTGGGTTTTAAAAGAACGGCCTGTGAGCATACTGTAGATACTGACAACACAGACCAAAGAAGTTCAAAAAGAAATGTTGCAGAAGTTTCTTTTTTGTGCTCTTCCCTCCTCCTTCTTCAAGTTCAATCCTATTCCGAGTGTTTTAAGGACTGGGGAGTGCTTACCCACGGTACCAGCCACCACGTGCAGAGCCACCCTGAAGAAGCTGTAAGTCGCTGGGATCGCTGAGCCTTAGCAGAAGGAGCCTTTGTAAAAAAAGGAAATTAGCAGTTTGACAACATTATTCCAGCAAAGAGACTAGCAGTCCAGGGATCTTCCAGATACGGAGAGACGGGAATGAGGTTCTCTGTAAGGGCTCAGGTCTGCCAATGCAGAAATATGAAACCTTCTAACATCTAGTGTGGGAAGCACTACCCTTGCAAAACAAGCGTAGGCAAGGCCATTTCTTAAAAAAAATGTCAGAAAAAGGTAGCTCGCTTTCAGGAAGAATTATCCAGAGCTTGAGGAACTGAATCTCACCCGCCCTTCTGGTAATAGTGTCAAAAGACTAACTTTGTGGAATATGAAGTAAGAGAATAAAGTTTCAAAAGGCTTCATTTTTAGGCAGATGGAGGGCCGAGAGCCCATTCCGCAGTAGGTCATTAACGGAAGAAAGCGCAGTCTGGTCCCACTCCTGGGAAACATGTAAGAATTAGGCAGCAACTGTGGTATCAAAGACTTCTGTTGCCATTCCTCACCCTGTTCCTGTACCGATTAAGAATTTGACCACTCTACTCATGAGTTTCCCCGGCCTACAGCGTAGAAGGGAATGGGAACGCATGACTCGTTGAAAAATGGATGAATGCAAAATTTAAAGTGGGACTGTTCAGAGCTGTAGGTAAGCTGTAACAACTCAGAGTCACCTTGGAATTTATCACCAATTCTCCCTTTAGCTCGTCTTTTCTTAAGACTGTTACTGCTTCCGACAGTTTTTTTTAGATATTTAACTTTAAACCACAATAAAGTAGGTGTTTTCTAAGTACGTTAGTCCCTGTGGGCAGGTGGCCAATATCCAGAATCAAAAGTGACCTCCAGTTCTGGAAGTACAGGCTTCTACTGCCCAGGCTCTTAGAGGCAGGCATGGAATCTCAAGAACTGCACTGGGCCACAAATACTCACGCAAAGTCAGTACCTGTGAGTGTGTCTACACTAGCGGGTAATGCAGAGCGATCAGAACAGGTGGATGGATTAGAGCAGCTAATACTAAGGGTCCTGCATCTGCATTACAGACGTTAGGATTTTCCTTCAGATCATACTTAACCTGGCCCGTTGGACTGAACCACCCCCTTGAGCACGCGGTTTGAAGCCACTCAGAGGAAAGCCCCAGCCCAGACTTGCTTTCTCAGCTGTAGCCCCTTAGTGAGCCGTTAGAAAGGGCCACATCATCCCTTCTCCTGCCTCACAAGGGTGGCCTGTTTAAGAAATTTAAGCATGTAAGCTTTATTTCTGCTAATGCTTTTATAGATGACACCTGCTGTAAGAATAATCTGTCAACTCCGAGCACGGTCCCCGGCCAACAAAGGGCAATGGGGGGAGGACAACAGGCACCCAGAGACCGCCGCATACGGACCAGCCCCGACCCTCCTGCGTGTTCTTTTGTCCGAGAAAGAAGAGAAGCCAAATGACTTTCCAGATCATCGCAGTCAGTGCTTTGCCCTTGGCCTGCCACAGACTCTGGGTACGTAGGCGGCGTGACCTCCGGCTGGCGGCAGCACACTGACCTTCGGGATAACTGGCAACAGTCACAAAAATTTTCAGATGTCGACAAGCACAATCCAAGCCCTCTGCTGGTGTCTTCACCAGGTTCTTCGAGGAGACTGCGAGCCCACACTCCTACCAGAAAGCGACCAAACGGTTTTTGGTGGACAAGACATCTCTGCCCACCTGCCACAACCTCTGTGAGTAACCTAAGAAACCGTGTTGCTCAGAAACTCATTCGGCCAAGTCTTGAAAGTCCTCAAGGAAGAACAGTCCATAGTTGTTCTGAGCAACCTAGTCCCGTGCTTCTGCTGAAGAGTGTTTTTCCTTCTGCCCAGAGCTTCCAGCCTGTGTCACCTCCCGTCCTTCCTGCTGCACGTTTCTCAGAAGACTCTGCCTCTGGCTTCTCCATGGAAAGGACGGGTGAGCAATGCGTCCTCTGCAGCCCCCCCCCGGGATGACGCGAGAAGCCTTGCCATCGTGCCCGGCATCGTGTGGACTACTTCCTTCAGCAGCAGCAGCAGCGAGCCGAGTTCTCTATCTGCAACCCCAGGACGGCACCCGTGGCATCGCTGCCGACGGGCGCAGCCGCACCGGAGCGGGGAAGCGCGGCATCCTCTGCCGCTACCTTCCCGCCGCGCCAGCTCTCTCCCGCGCGCAGCAGGTCTCCCCTTACCACCTCGGAAAATACCACCTTGGATCCAACAGCCCGAGAGAGGCAAGGCTGCTGGAGCTCGGCACCCCCGGTCCGGCCAGCGGGGAGGCTGAAAACGTATTGCCTGATGGTGTAGGCACACAGAGGGTAGGTATGCAGTGCGTACGTCTGTAGACACGGCTGACCAGGCAGAGCACCTGAGCAGAACGGAACTCCGTGAGCGGCAACGCATATGGACGGGGTGGATCCCACCCCCCAGCAGCTGGGCTCAGGCACACAGCCTGCCCCGTAGCTGCCCCGGGACCCCAGGCTCCCCCGTTGGTGGTACCCGGGGCTGCAGTCCCACTCCAGCTGCGGGTGCGCCCGGACCCGCTCTGGCTCCCGTCGGCAGCGCTACCGATCCACTGCCCCCCCCCAACGGTCCTGCGCCAGCCCCTCGCGCCCGGCGCTGCCCCACGGACAGCCCCCGCGCCCCCAAAACGGAGGCCCTCACGCAGGAAAAATGTAGAAAGGGATTAAAAAAAAAAAAAAGAAAAGTAGAGAAGACCAGCTGCCGCGGGGCACGGCCGGACCAGCATACTGACCAGCCAACTGTTGGTGTGCGACCTGCACTTTTTATCCCCTTACCCCTCTGCCTTCCCACGGCCACTCCTCTCCAGATCACCCAAGCCTCTCCCTTGCCCCACCCTGTTCCTCCCTTACACGTCCCAGAAGTCCTGCACCCTCCTCCGACTCAAAGGCTTATTTCTAACCCCTTCTCACCTCGTTTATAAACCTATACAAATACGTTTGATATTATATAAAGTTAAAAATTACCGTCAACTTACGTGCCCAACTCTTCCAACAGCTTCCACAAACTTTCTGCTACTGGCAATTGGAGAGCTCTTTTTTGAGCTAATTAGAATTGACTGAGCTAATGAGAAACATTGCAAGGATGTTGAATCTTCATCTCCGTATACCTAATTCTAATACCAAGAACCACTGCAATTCAGCACAGGAACCTATCAGCACTCTAGCTTTTTTCTCTTCCAAAGAGAGGCAATGATTCCAGGTACCAATACAATTCAAAGATGAGGGATTTAAATCTTATTTTCAAGAAACTCCCAGGAAGACTCATGGCTGTGGGTTTCCCAGGGATTTCTGGAGACTTTATTTGCAGTCTAGTCAAGTTAACGACAGAAATGCCGGGTCTACGTTTTTTTTGTTTTTTTTTTTTTTGTTTTTTTTTTTTTTTTGTCCAAACCTGGAAGACCTGGCAACAACTCCAGCCACCCCAAGCCAGAACTATGAAACTCAAAACCGTCGCAGCCCATCGCCTCAGTAAGGGGAACTGCAGCGCTAGATTTCAGTAACTCTTCAACAAAACGATGAACACTTCTACGGATTCCAAGCCAAAAAAAGATTCTTTAAGCAGTGCAAGCGAGGCCGGGTACCTTCCCCACGTCTCCTTTAACGGGCGGGACTCCACCGGCGCGCAGAGCGAGCCCCCTGCCGCACGAGTGGTCGCCCAGCCCTCGGGAGCGGCGACGCTGCGGCGCGCCCCCCCGTTACCCATTCCACAAAACACTGACCGAAGGAAAATGGCAATACTTCCTTGGCACTGCATAAAAGTGGCTTGTTTATACACAGTGATGCTGCACCCGCACAAACTATTCATTACTTCAGCGCAGTGAGTATTAAAAAGGACCCATTTCAACAGCCCCACACTTAAAAAAAAAAAATAAAAAAAAAATCAGGCAAAAAATCAACCAGCTAAAAGTCTACCCCTCTTTATGGTGACTTGTCACCCAAGCTAGCAGGGAGACCTCCTGAATTCAGCATCTCCTCTAAAATCATCTTAAAACAGCCTCACATCTAAGTTACTTGTGGTAATTGTTTGCTGCTCGTGGATTTTCAGTTAGGTTCAGCCCCTCTAAGCATCAAGCACAGAAGACTATTTAATAAAAACTAAGCGTAGTAATGTTGCTGCCTACCAAGCTGTTTCCAGACCACACATTTCCCCTGCTAAGATGTACGAGGGCGACTCGGGACGCCCCTGAATTTTGGTTGCGTGTTCTCAGCTGAACACCTGTACCTCCTGTGAAGGGGTTTAACCAGGAACACAGCGTTGTGGAGCAGCTTTTGGTTTTCTCTAGACACCTTCTGGCATTCTCATTCTGGAGCGAGAGTTTGTTGGAAGAAGGACTTTTGGTAATTCTGTCTGGTCATTTCTGAGCCAAAATTTAAAAGACTTTGACGTTCGTTATATTGTCCAAGAGATCAGGGACACCAGCGAGGCGCTTACTCAGCCATTACTGTAGGACACAAGGAAGATCAGGCACTTTACCGTTAGTGTATAGCATGCACGAGACGGATTGCCTTAGCGTTAGCAAACCCCTTTATCATTTTTGTACTAGCAGAAATTCCTTCTGAAGAAAGAAATCCACAGTAAACCCACCTTTTGTCAGGTAGGAACAGCACACCCGTACCTACCTGCAACTTCTTCCTCTGAAAGACAACTCATGCATTTTGAAAAAAGTTATTTATTTTCACTGCTTTAATCTCTCTACTGTAGTGTTAGCACTTAACATAAGCATCCACTCTTCTACTGTCCTATTTACAATCCATTGAAATGTATACTCTACAAATACAATACATATTTTCAGAAATGTAAGGGAAATGCACGATTTTGTAAGGTTTAAAAAAGTGACACTCATCTGTACAGGATCCTCAAATCATCCAAGAAGTAAAATTTACAAGGCAGTATCCACACAGTTATGTAAGGGCAGGTGCTACAGTGACAAAGCAGCAAACTTGCTAATACAATATAATACAGAAAATTAAAGTGTTTTGGGGCACCAGATAATACATTTAGTACCGCTGAAGTTGTAAATTTAGTAATACCCATACTTCTAGAAACATGTAACTGCAAACCTGGAGAATGTTCTGAAAAATATTAAACATTATATACACGAGGTAAATGTACCTTGGTCTTTCAAGAGGTAATTTGAGTTTAAAGCAACTGATATGGTGAAGATTATTTTTTTTTTTTTAAAAACACAAAATGATTAACACCTTGCAATCATTTCAATGGCACAATATAAACGAGGAACTAACTAAAAGGTGAATTTCATGGCAATCGCACTCAGAACCATTACTGAAAAAAAAAAATAAAATAGCCTCTTCTGTCATTTGACACCTTCATGTCCCCGTACAGTCAATCCCAATGTCTTTACCTATATACAAAGCGTTTCTTAGGATTACAAGTGGAACCACTGGAGGGTGACAGTATGTCATACATGGAAAACCAGCTTGAGAAACATCCCAGAATTCCAGCTTTTAAGGTTGGAAGGACCCTGAAGAACTCCAGCATTCCAAAACCAACATTTTGGGCTTTTCGGCATCAGACCATTTCCAATGCTCCTTATTCTCCATGTCCACATCCACCTGGTCACGAATCTGTAAACCAAACTGAGGCTTCAATGCTATTAAAATGTCAAACTGATTAAATCCACAAAACTTAAGCGAATGTATAATGTATGTAATATTTACAATAAACATTTGCATCAGTATTCATCAGAAATGGTTTTGGTATATACTTGAAATGATACAAAATTAATATTTTGAATGCTAAAATATTTTGGTCCCCCTGGATTTCCAAGAGCAGATCTGGTGATATTACAATCTTAATTTAAAAAATATTTATGTGTACCCGTGTCCATATATATAAGATATGATCTTACACAGGTAACATTTAAAGTTACATAATATATACAGACACAGCCTTTGTAAAAGGTGTTCAGTTTATATAATGGAAAAGAAGAACAAAGCTTGAAATTGTGGTGTCAGAACTGAGGATACACATAGGTCTACTCAGAATTTTCCTGTTCTGCATTCCAGTATGAATAAGGTTGTCCCAGAATAATGTTCCTAACGTCACACACACTGTACCAAGCACCCCTCCTGTGCTTTGCGCTCGCCAGCTTCCATTACAAAGCAGAAAGGTAGAACCATGTAAGAACAGCTGCTGGCAATGCAGGAGAACGAAGCCTGGCAGGTGGTGGAGATGAGACAGATGTAACAAACCACCGTGGAGGTGATTGAATCATCTGCCTGCCACGAGGCTGCTCCGCTGCCACGGGTTCTCTTTTAAATGCAACGGAACTGCTCCTTAGAGAAGTTGAGGAAACTTAGAGAGTCTTCAGAACCTCAACGTTATGCTGATAAGGCTCTGGAGGTGCTGAAAAAAGCCACCAATGAAACTCCCTGATGAATGATACTGGAAGCTCTCTCCTGCTACCATCAGGGTTACTATAAAGACCTGAAGCATGCCGGAAGCCTGGCGGTTCTGAAGTATGGACACTCCCATTTGTATCTACGGTAAAGATCCAGTCATGCCTGTGAAAAACTCTGAATTTCCCAGTTAAACTGTTTAACTACAAAGCCTTTGAAATTAGTATGGAGATACAGTAAATTCTACTTCGATGCTGAGCCGTTTTCTTTAAATATCTGTCTAGATACATAGGACTTGTTAGAGAGGCATGCCAAGTAGATGGACTTGGGAGTTTAGTTATATTCCATCATTTTTTTAGAACAGTCATACCTGGAAAACTCTGCGGTGCACAGCTGTCCATTTGCTCAAAGGCATCGATTATTTAAAATACCTGCACGAAGTCATTTTTGATCCAGCTTTGATTGACAAAGGCCTGGAGCACGTAAGCCTAACTGGTCAGGCAATGCCAAACGCGACAGCTCTTCTCCTCCTGGATGCCACCTTCCAGCACGAGCAGACTCACCCATCCAGGTGCATTTCACGATTTGCAGTTCGACCTCGGAAGGTCTGCAATTCCCACGGCATTCAAACCCACCCCCGAGCAATCGCTGGGAATTCGGAAAGACAGCCGAGTTAGCGAACCCCTCAGGCTGATGTCACCTCTACGGCCTCTTCGTGCAGGGACCCAGCCACGGTGGTGCTGCAGCCCCCACCTAAGCCCGGCCCGCAGAACGCCGCCCGCCCCGGGAACAGCTCTCAGCGGGCCGCACGCGGCAGAAGGAACAGGCAGCAGAGCTAAAGGTCGCCACGTGCGTTGCTTGACGGGGCAGGCACTCGCGTCCCGGAGACTAAGAAGTTGGGTGGGACCTTCATCACCAGACACAGGCACGTCCTGAAATACTACTGAGCTTTTTGGGCATTAACGAAATGAAAGGGCAAGCAGACTCTTTAAATCCAAAACGGATTTAAAAAAAAAAAAAAAAAAAAAAAAAATATCCTGGTAACAGCAGTTTTTTAAAGAGAATTTTCCACGTTCATTCCCCCGGTCCCCTCCAGAAGTTGCACATTTGGGCAGGAAGCAAATCAGTTTCTAAACAAGCTTCCAAAAATCTTGTGATATCCTCAAAATCTCAGGCAAATCTTGACTAAAGCCATGCATATCCCCCTGTGTTCTTATGACAACACAAGTCACCATAAGCTTTGTTCTTGTAACTATGAAAACGATTGCTGAAATCCTCTGGTATTTGTATCCAAAGACCTGCAGCTCACCACCTTCTGCAGCTCACTACTTTCTGTGTGTGGCACACACAAAATATATGCACATAAATTTTATAAGCAGCTTTGAGCTTTCTCGTACGAAAGCCCAAATAACTTCTCCCTAATTACAGGTGCACTTAATCCTAATTTAATTGCAAATATTGTTCTTTGAGCCTTAAGACTGTGCAGAACTGCACAAAAAAGATGCTTTTCCTATTTGATTTAATGGAGCAACATCTCCCTTAAGAACACCTTCCTCTTCTTGCTACTTTTTTGAAGTAGCTAGGTACTTCAAGCATTTCAGAAGTACCACTTCATAAACAAAAAATCTTATATATAATTATGACTCACGACTCGACAATTACAAATTATGACAGTGAATTAACTAGCTTACACTATTTAAAACTCCTACAGTGGTTTAAAGAGTCAGATTTTGGTAAAATTAAAGGTATTCCATGAATTATGTACTCACTTGCTGAAACGAGTGTGAATTAGATCGTAGCTAGGCAAAGGAACAGTAGATTTATAACTCATGTTTTTGAAACCAAAAGTACCATAGGCTTTGTATGCTCCTACTGTTTTGCATTAAAAGACTCAAAAGCGGCACTTACTGGTATAATACAATCTATTCTGAAGGCAATGCAATGTTCTGAGAAAGTGGAAAAACCCAGTAATCATGTATAAAGTCTAGTTGCATAAATTATGTTCCCACAACTGAATGAGGTCAATTTGTAAATCAAGGTAAGAGTCCAAAAGATATACTACCTTAATAGCTAGCAAAGTGTACGCCAGCAGTACATTCACAATCTGAATCAAGGGACTGTGACAGTGGTTCAGAACAGTCAATGTACCAGCCAGGAATAAAGTTGCTTAAAGAGCCATCAATGCACTCTAGAACAATATAGCGAACCGGTTCCATTTTAAAGTGACCTCTTATTTTTAGCACAGTTAACTAGAAGTTAAGACCAGCTATCAACTTTCCAAATAAAAAAAAAATTATAGGTTAATAAAAATAAAACTAGACTACACAATGTTTTGTAAGTAACCTGGGAAAGAGGTTCATAGTGCACAGAAAGGACCCAACACAACTGTTTAGCACGTCCACAAAAATCCTAATAAGTGACGTTCCTATGAAGTACTAAAAGGCAGCAATATCCTTCTGTTCCCCCAGTGAGGTAGAACAATTAACCTTCTTAACACGCCACTCTGGTGCGGATACGGATTTTTACAGCATTCTTCGGTAGCAGATCCAGGATCACATCTTTATCCCCTCCTGTTGACTAAGTTGTGATAATGTTTTCTTAATGCGCAAAGCTGTTAGCCTAGCAGCTCCGTTGGCATACCAGCATTCCCGCATAATTTTTGCCATCACTCGTAACGCCTGCAAAGGAAAGACAAGTAATTACATGTATTGCCGTTCCGACACAGCCCCATGCAACCTCTGTTCTGCCTGAGCTGCTTCATGCATTTCTGAAGTCTATTATTAGCACGCACAGCTGCGTGGAAGAGTGTGTTGTATAAAACACTCCAATTCGTACTTTATTTCCAGAAAAATTAAATTCTCTGAAATACTGCAGAGCAGAGCTAGAGTTTTTCAGTCGAATTTCAGCCCCCCCCCCCCAATATTTTAGTGAAAAATTAGCAGCTCGTCTGTAATCACTTTGTGATTTTTCACATCAGACAAAAATACACTCTCTTTTAGTGTACCTCCGGGTAAGGAGGTAGCTCAATGTACAGCCGTCCAGAAGTTATCAGCTGTCTTCCTCAAATCGAAGCTCTAGAACGACTCTGAAAATGTTTGGAGTCGTTTTCTCCTTCAAAACCGCCACTCTTTGAAATCTGTGAATGCTACTGCACAAGCAACAACGTAAAAAAACTGAAGACGAAACGAAGTAATAGCTCTGCGTTCCGAGATTTTTACACCGAGAGCTGCATGGCTGCTAGGTAAATTTGCAGGACTGCCAGTGCGGCGCCCGCCGGCGTGCCAAGCCCGGCCCCGACCCGGGGGAGGCACTTCTGCGGGGGCAGGGGTGGGGGCTGTCGCTGCGCGGTCCAAAGTCGAGTCTCAGCTTCCTAATAACGCTGCGCGCCTTTCAGTCAGTGCGTACAGCACAGGATCTGAGCCACGCCAAGTACTCAGGGCCACCCCCCCCCCCCCCCGGTTTTGGAGGAAAATTCCTAAAGGCATTTACTGTTTTGGCCAGTCTGTAGGATATCGCTTTGCTAGGGAACGGCGGGGCAAAGCCCCCTGAGCGCGTTCGTTCCAAGCGAGCGCTCACGGGAGGCGGCAGAGCACTGCTGGAGATGCCATTTGTGTCCCGACAAGCAGGGCGGCAGCGCCGGCAGAGCACGGAGCTGAAAGGAGCCGAGAGGTAACGGGCCCAGTTACAGACCAGCCCGCGCAGACCCCGTTAGCTCAGGTGCCTTTACTACCCCCTGCTACGGGCTAACCCCGGCGGGCAGCTCAGCCCCGCACAGTCACTCGCCCAGTCCCCCCCAGTGGGATGGGGGGGGAGAGTCGGGAGGGCAAAAGTGAGAAAAATCTGTGGGTTGAGATAAAAGACAGTCTAGTAGGCAAAGGGGGGGAAAACCCAAGCCAAAACAAAGGAGAAACAAGGGATGCAAAACCAATCGCATCTGGCTGACGCCCGGCCAGTCTCGGAGCAACAGCGACCCCCCCAACACTGCCCCCCCCTCCTCCAGCTCTGTTGCTGAGCGTGAGGTTCCACGGTCCGGAATATCCCTCTGAGCAAGCCAGGCCTGCTGCCCCGGCTGTGCTCCCCCCTCAGCCCCCCAGGCCGAGCGAGAAACGGAGGAAGCCTGGAAGCTGTGTCAGCGCCGCTCAGCAACAGCTAAACCGGCGGGGTGCTCTCAAACCGTTTTGGTGGCAAACCCGACGCACAGCGCCACGCGGGCTACCAGGAAGAACGTTGACTCAATCCCAGTCAGAGCCAGTGCAACCCCCAGTTGCACAATTTATTTGCAACGCTGCTTCCTGTGTAATGTAATCCAGACAAGCTTTAAATTTACATTAGTGCCACCTGTGCTTCACAGGAAGGGATCCCAGAATCTTCCACGCAGGGTTAGCTATCAATTTTTGTGAAATTACATTAAATATTGATGTATAAACAAGGATCAGCGATGCTCATTAAACCCACAACGATCAGAATGCAAGTCAGCTCTTTCAGAAGCACCCTTCTCTCTTCAACAACAAGCACAATTCTTAAGCCACTGAAATCAATAAAAGCACTAGTGTCCATTAAAGCAGCTTTAGCAAGGTTAGTTAATACCTCACAGCTCTGCCATCTGTTTGGAATATTGGGCCTTAGCTTCTGCTCGCACACAACTTTCCTCATTTCTTCAACAGAAGGATCTGAAGGAACGAGGTCATAATACGGCAACTGGTAATCTTCATGGATTCCTGTAATAGGTTGAAAAAGGCTTTATTTTAACTAACGCTAAATTACATATTCTTTACTTTTTAACTGTGTTCCTTATCAGTGTCCCACCATTTTCTTTTTTGGCTTTCATTTTTAAAAATTACATTACAATGACTGACATATAAATTAAAAAAAAAAAAAGAAAATCCTTAACCATAGTTTAGGAGTGCCTACATTACCCTTGAAGAACTTTTACTTTTGAAATTTATATATTTGGAGAAGATTGAAGCTATGGCAAACCTTTCATATGCTATACTAAAGCCACACTTCTTAGAAGCGTATGATTTATAATAGCATGTTTTATTTTAAATGCGGTGCAGACGTTATCTGAACACGTTATAGCTAGCTCTTACTTGTGGTGTTGGCCCCTTGCTCTCAAGGACATTGAACTTCAGCCTTTTCTCCCCTCTATGTAAAGGCTTTAGAAGAAAAATTAATACAGAAAATCTCACACAGACAGAAGAAAGTATTAATAGAGGATATTTCCTATTTTCTTCAACAGGTACGGTTCATCAATTTACAAAGAGGTTGAATAAACCAGTCATCCTTTACAGGATTAACAGAAAGTCTGAGACACACTGGCTATTACCTTGCACTGTTTTTAGAGCAAACTGTTTACACTCAAACTTATTCAGTTTCTGTAAGTTACTTCTAATTCCTCAGTATGTCCAATTTGGTAAAGACTGACACATACCACCGATTGAACATCGCCGAGCTATTTCCCAAAACACTAATCCCATTGCATAGATGTCTGCTCGTTTGAATGACTCAAAATGCTTCATATTTATGGAATCATCTAGAACTTCAGGAGCCATGTACCTATTTGCAATAAAAAAAGAAAATATTTCATTTCAGAAATACTTACTGTAGAGAAAGCTCAGTGCTACTGATCAGCTCAAAACCAAATGTAAGCATTTATGTAGAAAAGGAGACAAAGGAAAATGTGTTTCATTCAGGTTATCCAATCAAAGACCTTTCAGTGCAAAGGGGATAGATAATAAGTAAAATGAGAGGAACAAGCAAAATAATAGGGGGAATAACTAAAACATGAAGCAGTAAACAAATAGAGCCATAAACCTGATAGACATGGGATAACAGAGACAATGACAAAGACCAAAAGTCTCCAGTTGTTAGTTGATGGGCTACTGAGGAACTCCAGGCATAGCTTTAGAGAGGGCCAGTCTGGATGCTGTTACCACCAGTGAGTGGGAAACGAGAGGACCGTGAGGTCGGTGGATGCTCAGGGGAGGCCTGCGGGACTAGGCGACGCTCACCAAGGAACATTTAGGAGAAGGGTAACTGGGAGGAACAAAAGGGAGGCAATAGACAGAAAAGGGTATCAAAGGGGCCAGTTGCATAAACAGTGGTCAGTCACCACGCTGTCTGACCAAGGCCAGCAACTGTTCACCACAGTCTATTTTATCTTCTTCTCAAATTCTCAAATCCTAACTATCTTTCTACGCAATCTCGCTCTCAACCACTTGCGCACGCGTGCTCTGAGGACTACGTGCCAGCAACTGGAGGCAGGCATGAGTGAATTCAGGGCCAGCAATTGGAGGCAGGCAGGGGATGAAGTTGCCCTCTGGCCTGGGGAACCTGCAACTGGATAGAAGGGTCTTAGCACCAGCAGCTGGAAGGGGAACTGCGGATCCTAAGAGCGCGTATCTGGAGCTACTGTCGGGGGAACCAGCGTGAATTAATTCTGGGCCAGCAACTGCAGTCAGACAGGGGTGAAGACAGCCCTAGTGCCAGCAGCTGGAGGAAATGGAGGTCTCTGCTTCAGCCCCTGAAGTGGGGCAGTGGATCACAGGCTTCACAGCCACGTGCTTACAGCTACTGGGGGGAACAGAGATGAGAGAAGCAGAGCGAAGGCCTCACAGCACCAGCAGCTGGAGCGGGAGTTGCAGGCCCCGAGGTGTGGGTGCCAGCTGCTGGGGTGGGCTAGAAGGTTTGTATTTCCCTCAAACCTGGTGTGCGGGTGGGTAATTCCCTAACAAACTTGGAGCTGGTCTGGCCAGCAAAGACTGGGGTGCAGGCAGTGATATCTGACAGGGGGAGGGACCTGTGCTGGTATTTGAGGGATCCAGGCACGCAGGTGTACGTATGAGCACATGCATCAGTTTGCTACTGTGCATTAACCCAGCCCAGGCGGGGAGTAGGAGACCAGTGGAGCACAGAAGAGGGCACTACACAGAGCAAGGGATATACCAATTGTTGAGGCATTCATAAGCATGCACGGGCTTGTGAAGCTACAGAAGGGAGCATGTGTTTTCACTAAAGAAGTTCAATCCTGATCAGCTGAGAAGGAAAGAGACTTGGCTGTCTATACTTAGATTTTATACAAGTTCTGACAGTGTTTTATGTGGGTGTTGAAGACAGCACATGGTGTATAGCAATCTGTGTAAGCAGCCCTGTCAGTACTGTATGTCTCTGCGTACGCCCAGCCTCACTGCTGGTTAAAGCCCAAATTAAGAAAGCAGCAGCCGCGTCTGTGGGCCTGGGCTGGACAGAGCCCCAGCCCTTTGGACACAGCAGGCTGGGCTCCAGAGCCCTGGCAGGAGGAAGCCCCGGCTCCTGGAATGTGCCAAGACAGAGCAGCCACTTACAACATCCCCTAGCAAGACTAGAGAGGGAACAGACACGAAGGGTGGGTTTAAAAAAAAGAAAGCATCCCTGTTAATCACTCCTTGGGAACAAAGGCTCCCTACCACTGCAGTAACTGATTCCTCATCATACAGTCTGGAAGTCCCACCATAAACCATGCCAGACTTTTTTTTTTTTTTTTAAATAGTAAATCCTATTTGGGTTACATATTAAAAACTGTGTTGGCAAGAAGAGTTTACTTTATCCACATTTCCTGAAACAACAACAACAACAACAACAACAAAAACCTGTGACAGACTTTCAACTGAGAAACAAGGACTGAAAACTGGTCATGGCATCCAAGTGACTGTTACCTGCTTAGTGACTAGGCCTAACGTGGGAACATCAAGCAAAATGTCAGTGTGGCCTGCACTGTGAGCGTCACTGACAGCAGCATCCCTGCTGCCTACTGGCAAGAATGAATGGTATTTGCTGTGTCAGTCAACATCAGTTGTAGTATTGCTCTTAATCTGGTAGAGCTCTGGCAGCTAAATCCAATATGTAATATTTAGCACAGTTCAGGGTGTTTCTCCACATCACTGCCCCATCAATCTCAAGCTGATATATTAATGAAGCAGGTGAGCAATGACAGCAGGGCTTTGGGGAGAACACAGGTAACTGGTAAAAAAGCAACAGGCATACTGCATACTGGAGTGGAATAGTGCCAGGCAGTAGCTCAACCTCTGGAACAGCCACAGAAGCCTACGCACAATTTAATTTAATCAACAGAATACTAAGATTTTCTCTTCCTAGTAGCAGGGATGGTAGGCAGAATACAAGACACGCTACTTAAAATAAATTTCAGAACTGTCAGACCTTTCAGAATGCTCTCAGAACTACCTTATCTTATGTGAACAACATACATACAAGGTAGCAAGGGCTATCAACAAAAGAGCAAAAATGCAGCCAGTAGTCCAGAACTTCAACAAGGGTTACTGACATAAGAGTTCTCCTAACAGTGCAGAGGCATATAAATTCCCCAAGAGTGATAAACACAGCACAAGCAGAGGGCATCTGTCTAAAGAGGAACATAAGGTTTGCTTTGACAGGATTTACTGAATGGAAGGACAGTCTTAAGTTTACATATTTCTTAATCTTTGATAGGGACAAGGCTCAAATTATTCTGGGCCACCCACATCAAAAACTTTTTAAATCAAGAATATAAGATTGTGGCGGGTGTTTTAATGATCTCCAAGGATTTTGCATTATTGGATAATCTTCTTAGGCTACTTTATGTACTTGACAGTATAGTGATCAGCTTTGGGTCTAAAAGAATATTTAATCTATTTTAAGATCGCTTGGTGATGAGAAGAGTGTTGGAGCTGGAAAAACACCAAACCAAAAACCCCAACCATGTTGCAAGACTGTCAGCCAGAACCACTCACACAAGTAGTAAAGGAGACTGATTTACAGAAACTGAGACATTCTAAGGACAAGGGTTTTAACAGGAAAGACCACAAGAGGCCTGAATGTGGCAATGGAGCTGAATTCATACCCTCAAAAGAAAAAAATCCCATCTCCCCCCTCCAAGGTGACCCCCGTTGAATTTACTGGCAAACTGACCTCTTACCATCATCCTCGCTCAATGCTTTTAGATTGGCTTTCGTTTCCATAACCCAGAATGGTGACTGACTGCTCAAAAAATCTGACAGATTATTGCTGGAACAAGAGAGGCGAAAGGCAAGTAGGTCATCCCTTGCCATTCGCCAATCAGCCGTTTCACAGCTATCAGACAAAAGGGAGAGAAACATGCATCTCCTTCTCAGCTTATATATGGGAAATGCATTGCTTGTCAGAAACAGCATTTTAGGCTCTGGAGAGAACTGCTCTACAGAGACTAAATTTGACCTTCTGAACAAGGTCTGCAGCTCAGTACCCCCCAAGAATGAAAGAATAAATCTACAAAGAATTACGTTGAGCACGGCCTTGCCAAACTTTGGGCGCCTGCTGACCTCTTCCCCCCTGCCCCTTTTAGTCCACAAGTTCTGTGTTAGTTGCCTAAATGTCTTGTACAACGTATAGGGAACTTGGTGTCATCAAACAGGATCCACACACAACATGTTGAGTGTGACACTTCCCTTCACCAAGCCTGTTCTCCACAAGCATAGCTAGAATTCCGCTCATATTGGGTTTAGGTAAACTGCAGAAAAGCACTCATGTTAAGGCAAAATCTGCAGCCAAACATCTTTTAAACACAGATTATTTCGACTACCAAAAGTAACAGTTGGGTCACACTTCTCAAAAAAAAAAAAAAAAAGGAGAATGAGTTGTGTTTTTTTTTTTAACTTGCCTCAGGCAGTGAGAGAGGGATTGGATTCTATTTCTTTCTCAGTTTAAAGCTCACATTCCTTGCTTTATGCTGCAGGCTGAGCTGTGAAAGCACATAGTTCACACCCTCTGGTAAAGCTAAGCCTCTGAACAGAAAAGAGATAAAGATTCATTCAGTCAGGGAGAAGGATCACCAGTCTGACTTGGCACCTAGATCACTCACCCCAAAGTGAGTCTTGCTTGCGCTCCCTAGACCATACACTTTTACAACAGACACTCATTAGAAAAATACGAGCTTAGTGAAATCTCCCTTAATTCGCACACAGGACTTCCATGTGCAGAAGAGGTACCAGCAGTGGCAATCAACAGAAGTTAAAATTGTCACTGAACAGGTAAGATCTGAACTTTATTACGGAAAAAAAATCAGAGGTGCAGAGTTCCTTACCTAAGGAGGCGCAAGAGCGAGGAAGAGGGGGCCAAGCCTGTTGTGAGAATCAACAATTTTCAGAGAGGTAGAAGTGACTCACGTCTTTAAAGTGGGAAACAGACTTAATCCTGCTGCTGCCCACTGCAGCAAGTAAGAGAGTTATTACAGCTCTACCCTTGTGAAGAAGCGTAAGGCAGATGGACAAGCAATTTAATAGTGCCTATGCGAGATCTTGCAAGTGGGACCTACAGACACAGCTGAAACGATGCTTTCTCCAAAGACTGGAACTAGAGAAAGTAACTGCACATCATTTGTCTTTGCATGTAGGTGTAGTAGAAAATAAAGTCCCACAGGGTGTGCGCCCTGCACACAGCTAAGTTTGCAATGACGAATTCCAAAGCAGTCTGCTGTTTTACGACCGATGATTACTGGAGACTTTGAGAAACAAGAATGTCCAGTACTTTGTAATCTAGTACTAGTTCAGAAAATAAATCTTCTCTGAAGATTTGCGCGGTATTTTTAAAGCTGGCAAAGGACTAGTACAGCAGTGCTTTAAAGCAAAGTAATTTCAGCAATATAATCGTCAGTAAAATAAGTTTTCACTACATGTTCTAAAAGCTTTTGTTCACTGAGCCTTAAAAAAAAAGGTTTTTTTTTCTTCCAAAAAGCCACAACTAAAGGGGCATCCCAGTTCATTGTAAAACCAAGTCACATTCTATCGGCCCCCCAGTATCACTCACAAAAGAGATATATTAAAATATATGTATTTTTATGTATGGTTTGGAGATTGGGCAACATCAACACTGCACTTTCCCCAACACTGCTAGGGCATATGCTGAAGTACTGCCCTGAACCACTGGGCTTCCACGCATTTCCCTGTGACAGGCACACAAACTTCAGTTTGACATACCACTGAACCTAGAGGTATCAAAAGGACCAAAGGTTGCCCACATTGCGCAACTCTGGTGCTGTGGTTCACTGTCAGTGCTGCTATCTCTGTATGCTGTGTAGCTGCACAGACCACTAAGGGAAATTCATCTTCTCTTCAGAACAGCTTCCAGTTATTATTGCCTGAAGGTTCAGCAATGACAAATTACAGTCAGTAAGTTTAATTGCACTTGGGTTGATGGTGTTAAACAGCTCTGAGTTCTCTGGAGAACAAGAAAGTCCATACATCCAAATTCAGAAAAGTAGGCCTTTACAAGAAAGGGAGTATAACAACTCTTTCATTAATAATTCTATTTATGCATTAGCTGACAAAGATGACTGCTGCTTTAAGTTCTTGTATTCTCTCAAAAATATGATGCCATGAAAGCCCACATCCAAGTGTCTGTACCTTGTACGTTCTACCACATAGGCTTCACACTGAAAAAAATTCCAGCTTTTTACTTTCACTGTCAATATCCTGTCTTACACTCCAGATGGGGCTGCAAGCAACATTTCCATGCAACACAAGGCAAAAAAAAGATACAGCAGTGAAGTGTCTAAAACTGTCATTCATGAAGTCTCCTAATTGTTTTAATATATACTTGCGCCCCACAATATTTTGCAAGTTTTTGGTATTTCACACATGCTAGTAATAGATGCCAAGATTCAACATGCTTTTCAAGCACCTACTGTCTACTTTACCAGCTGGCAAGAAAGTGCGTAGGAACTCTACCTGCCATCATTTACATTTTCCCACTGCTTGTGTTTGTATCTATAAATATCTTCAGTATGCGACAAGGACAAAAATACCCCAACAAACAAAAACAAAACAAAAAAAACCCCACGGCATTTTATTATAAAAGTTGCCTGACACATCATGTTAATGCTTTTACCTTTTTGTTCCCACTCTGTGGTTTGGGGCAATATCAATTGTGTCTGTAGCTGAATCATGCCTAACTGCCAATCCTAGGTCTGCAATGCAGCACGTTCCATTCTTTTTTACCAATATATTTTTTGATTTCAAATCTCTGTGGGCAATCGCTGGTTTGCCTGTAAGGGACAAAAAAAAAAAAAAAAAAAAAAAAAAAAGAAATGACACATCTGTGAAAAAAATGTAATTGCTATTATTCAAAGCCTGGGGCAGATTTTATTTGAAGTTACAGAACTCCTTCCAGTCCTGCTGTTTTATGTGCATCAAGGCAGCTCCTGAAATCATTCACTGTGGACTGGCAGTCCAAAAAAGTGCCTTACAGGTCTACCATATTACTCTGTTCTACTGCCCTTTTCCCTATTCCTGCAAGTATTTACTGTGTAGACATACTATTTTCCAGAGATACTAGAAACTTTTTTGTGGCAACAGACCATAGTGTTGTCTCAAATCAAAGTTAAGAAGATACTACAGGCACCATCACTTAGTGCCTTTTAATAAGTATTTTGTAGGAAGGATTGTTACATCACAAAACCTGGGAATAATACAGGAAGAAAGGTAAAAAAAGCCTTCCAAACTAAGAAGTTCCATTAGTTCAGAAATTATCTATCACAGGTGCCAAACAGACATTTTTCAATTCACTCAGCTCTGCAAGGGATTAACTTGCCTATCTGCGCTGAGTTCAGCTGCCTTCCCATCACACAAGTAGTTGTGTGCAAAGCAACTCCACCCCGAAAAGGTTGAATGTTCTAATTAAAGCGAATTATAGTAGAAAGAGCTAGGTACGTGTCATTTTTAAAACAGTCCAGTATTATCCACATGACAGGCTGAATAGTTGTAAGATTACCTTGCGTGCCAACAATTTCCATGTGAAGATGAGCAAGACCACTGGCAGTAGACAAGGCTAATTTTATCATTCCTTCCACTGTTACTGTATACCTGTTCAGGTAATCAAAGAGTGATCCGTGCTCATGATAGTCTGACACCAACCAGAGCTGAGTCCATGTACCATTGTCTGCAAAATAACACTGGCATGAATACCACACACACACGCACACACACACAAAACAGACCAAGCAAATCATATATGCCACTTTTATACAATGCTGATGAAGTACAAATTATGTTTTACAAGTAACCTCAGCCAGTTAAACTCTTAAATCTTTACGTTTCTCCCTGCAACATTTAAATGTCTCTGTAAGGCCTGATACTACCATGCAAGACTTTCTGAATAGCTCAGTGAGTATTTTATTTAAACTACAAGACAAACCATAGAAAGCCAATGTCACCTCGATTCCAAGGTGAATTATTCAGGGTATTAGCCAGGTCCTGCCTTCCCCCAACTCTTCTGCTCGGGGGAAACAGCGCTGAATGCATGATGCAAAACTAATCCTGTCACTATCAGTCTAGCACAATATTGTCCAGACTGCCCATAGAAAGTTTTTCAAGCTTTGCCCCATAACTCCTTCAGTCTTCCCATAACCTATCCAGCCTCAGCCTGGGAGACAATTTCCACATTTCCCAGCAGCTGGTAGATTTTACCTCCTGGAGTAGAAGCCTGCAGGCAGCAATCGGACACATTAGTTCGAAAACAAAGTCAAATCCCACCTGTGGTGACCTTTAAGTTGCTGGCTAAAATTGAGGTTTCCAGGAGGCACAAGGGTAAAGAGAATGGAAAACACTGATTATGAGAAAACCAGTTTGCTGTATGAGTTTTCACTCATCTGTGAAGAATGAGACAGGCCATAATACATATGCAGACATCCCAAGGCATACAGATGACAGGTAAGAACTAAATTATTCACATTATTAAACTAGTGGACAAAAAATGTCTTGAAGTTTAATCCACAGAGAGAAGACTATTAAAGGAATTTACATCAAGAGGGGGGCAAAAGTGGTTTTTTTTTGAGCCAATAAGTAGAAATATACTCAATAAAAGAACAATCCTGCCACCAAAAAGGTTTTCCGATTTTGTTATAAAAGCAACTCTTGTGTGGCAGATCTGAGAAGTGTTTCAATAGCTAGGTACTTTTGTAGAAGAGTCTTTCATCTCTTAAAAAAGACTAGTTATCACAAAATATTTCAGTTGGACTTCTATCCTGAATTATACAGCCACTATTACCTAAGAACAAGTATGAAAACTTGGCATAAACCAAAGAGATACTTCTTTATGTGGTAGTCCCTAAGGGTTATCAAAATGCACATTCAGGAGCTAAATGTGAAGAACAGAAAGGAGAGAAGTGAATTCAGAAGTTAGTTCCTATCATAAACATACTGAAAAATTATTAGCTTCCAAATAGAAGTTTCTTCCATTTCCTTCCCCTCTTCCTCCACTCCCCTCAAAGAACACACTTGGCTCAAAGTCAGAATCCACAGATTGACAGAAACTGCCTGAATACATGTACTGGTGATTATCCTTCAATAAGCACTTGGGTGAGGGTGGGAAAACTTCCAAGCTTCCCTCCTACCTGGATGTTTCTAGGGAGGCCAGTAATGACATAAAAAATAATAATAAAAAAAATTAAAAAGCCATCAAATGCTTCAGAGTAGGGAAATAGAAGTCTAATCTACATTTAAGCAGTTTTCATAATGAAAAAAGAATTCTGCCTTGCCACATTCACAGATTAAATTAACAACTTAGTTGAGACGAAACAGGCAAAAGCAAGCTGTCAAATGCTCTAGTCTGTAAAAGACTGTTAGAAAACTGCTATTGTAGTGGAAGCTTCCTATATGCTCAAAGAAGTGACTCCTAAGCTTTTTTTTTTTTTAAAAAAAAAGGAAATCAAAGATTTTTTTTTTTAAATCTTAAATTATTTTATACGTAGGACTGCTGCTTCTTTTGCTACTTCACATATCCAAGCATGGACTCGAAAACTCCGCATACTATTAAATGTGACTTTTTTCAAAGAAAATTATGGTGTCTGAGAAGTCAGTCCAACACTGTTAGCTTCACTGAACCAGTTTCACAGAACCATTAGAAACAGGTATATAAAATGTGCTTTCAAATACATACATTCAAAGAGCTCCAAAAAGCTGCAGAAGTTCAAAATAAACTAACTTAGTTCAGAATATTCCCTTCACCCAGTATTATTTCACTGCTTCACCAGTTATGACCCTACTTTACCTGAAATAATCTTCTCCTGGACAGTAATACTATGCACACTCATTGCTTGATCCTGTATTTTATTTCTTTTCCGGTTTCTTATGAATGGGATACCTCAGCATGTGTCTAAACTAGACAACAACAAGTAGGGAAATTCGTGATCTAATTTTAAGTAGTTTACCATACCTACTTCGTCTAAACAGATCTTTTAAAGATGTCACAAAGTTTCTGAAGAATTATCGCTGCTTTGAATCAAGATTACAGTGTCTTTGCATAAAGTTTTTTCCCTCTTAACTCTGGGTTCCCACCTGAGAATGTGCTGCTGATTACAGACCCTTCTACTTCAGTTTTATTATATTTATTACCTGCGAGTATTAATATTTGGTCTGTTTTTACCTTCCTTTGAAAGGAGAAAATACAAAGCTGGGTTTACTGTACATTCTGAAAGGAGCCGCGATTCCTTCCTATTGTATGTCCTATTTGTGGCCCTCCAACCAGATTTTAAGAAGGAATAGTGTTACATCCAAGCTTACATGAAAAATATTAATTACAGATGAGCTGAAATACAGCAATAAAGTACAGTGTCCAGCTACTAGATGGAATCTACTACATTTTTTTTTAACCTTGCTATTTTTGACAAGCTATACATTCGTTCAGCAATCTAGGCAGAACACATTATGATGAACTTAAGTATTTTTATACTGTTGACAGTAGTTAATTATTACCGAGTAATAATTAACCTGACCCTGAGTATTTTTAGCTGCACAGTAAACAGCATCTGCAATGAAGCTTTCAACCACAGGATTTGCATTATCAGGTAAGAAAAAGGAATTACACTCAGTCCTTCCATTACAAAGTAGCATAATTTAGTTCATATACACCTCATGATCAAGAATCTCAAGCAATTTCAGAAAGTTCAAGAACATTCCAAAAATTTATGCATGTTCTTGGAATCCTATTTAAGAGATTAATTATGGTTATTTCATCCATTTGCAAGAAACCTGGAAGTATTTTAGACCAAAATCACTCAGAAGTAGGTTTTCCTTTTGCACTTCTCACAAAATCTGAACTTCTGAGTAAAGCAGCTCTCAGATTTATTATTAGAAGACTGATTACAGTTTGAGAAAAACATTAGTGAACTCCAAGCAACACCCACCTCTGACAAGCTGCCTCCTGAAGAAAGGAATTTATAACAATTGTTTTATCAACATATATATACACACACACACACATATATATATATATATTAAAAAAATCAAGTTTCAATTAAAATTGAATTGACTGAAGTCACTTGAGTGAAAAATGCCTTTTTCCCACATTGGTACTAGCAAACAAAAATTTGGACTTGGCACGTGCACATTTTTAAACCAAATAGGTGTGGACAGTATTGCTTGGTACCAGAGTTTTGAACCACAGACTTACGTTCCAAGTTGAATGTTTAAAAGAAGTTACAGAAACTACCTAATTGCATGTGTTGTCTAGTGTCATGCAGTAAAGTGTTTCAAAGCAAAGAGTAGGACACATTAGCCTTTTCTGGCATGCAGATAATGCAACAGAAACACACAGAAGAAAAAGCAGTGACAAGATCAGATACAGATGGGATCTATAACTAGAAAACTCTTAGAAATTAGATATTCAGGGAGATGTCTGGGAAAACACTTTTGTCTGTGGCTGGAAGAGGACTGAGATTTTGTTAGTGAAACAGCTTGACTATCACATTGAGACAGCCATCTGATTAAATTGATGAAAAGCACTTGAGCTGTGTAGATTAGCAAGATCTTCCAGTCAAATTCCTTCTTCTCAGGCTAAAGCCAAAGCTTCAGAAAGAACAAATGGCTCAAACATTACTTTTCTCAAGAGGAAGGGATTCTCATTTCTCTGCAGCACATTGCCTATCCTTCTGGGGGGATCTACTTACCATGTAGGGTAGTGTGACTGAACAAAACCTTCACCTAGGGAAGTGCAGCTTTCAATTAAGGGGAAGGAATGGAGAGGGCAAAATATTTTCGTGCCTGAAGTTATCTTAAAGTGTGCAGTACAAGACTTCACCTTACTTGTAACATGACTACAGACAGCTAATCCAGGGAAACCTTTAGTACTGTAAATGGAGGTTACCAGCAGAAGAGCAGTGCAGTTAAGTAGACCCTGATACACTTTACAATTCAGTATCTACGCTAGAAAGAACAAAACAAAAAAAAGCACCCAGAAACCAAACTGTCCGATTAGGTGGCTCAAAACAAGGCAACACATGGCCCAGAAAGGAATTTCCCTGACCTAGCAGTATTGCAAAGTTAGTATATACTCCTGGCTAAGTCAAGAGCTACCCAGAACACAAACACACTAGCCAGACAGAACACAAGTGCAGTTAAAATCCTTCATTGCCTCTCAGCCCTTAAATTGGCTTAACAGCAGCACCTATTTCCCAGTAAATTTGGGGATGGGAAAGCAGACAGATTGGACAAGCTCCTGTAGCCTTCTGAACCCCATACAGCTGTGGGGAAGTAGGGGAGGAAAAGGAGAACGTGCCATTAAGACACGTGGAATGTCTAAACGGTGTAGCAGACCAAGGAGTGAAGGCAGTAGTAGTTCAGTCACAAGGTTTATGACTCCACCCATCTATCTGTGCTTGTCAACACTTTCTAATCTACACATGCACCCTTCTACCTCCAGGCACCCCCCAATCTTACAGCCACAATGGCCAGCTACATGCTCCCCAGCAGTTGTGAAAAGTATGCAACTGCATTCAGGAGAGACTTAATTAATGCCTTTACTAGTAGTGAGAGTTGCAGCACGGCCCACATTTACACCACAGACTACATGTCAGGAGGTAAGAGTCCTCAGCATTCGTGATGGATGCATGAGAACCTATGGCTGCGAATTCTTCTCCATATATCACTGAAGCTCTCAGCAAGCACGGGCTGGCACAAGTGATGCCTTGCACTGCCGTATCTCTGCAAGGCCTCAGACACACAGGCAGATTCTTACAGTCTAATGACTTTTGTGCATTCCAGCCAGGCTGTAGTAACTCCTGAATGAAATCAGGTCTGCCCCATGGAGAAATCCTTCACAGCCATTGTTGCTGTGAACTAATACTTCATCTTGCAGCAGGCACCCAATAAGCATTTTCCAGTTAGCACCAGCATCTACAGTGAAAAGACTATTAATAGGTGTTTTTAAGCTACTGGTCTCTAAAGCCTTGCTGTGACACACTTGCTCCTTTGTGAGTACCATGACAGCACACCTGCTAAACTGAAAGAACTACCTCTGCAATAGTCCCTCTATGTTCTCCCATTTAATGGGATACATATGGCCTGAGGTATTCTAAACAAGCCTTGACATATTAACCTTCTTCAACATTCAGGACCTCTGAATGCTTGACCTAGAGAGAGTGGTGTGTACATATTTCTTCACCAAGACAATGCAGAAGGTTACACTGAGAATTCTGAATTGGTGGGTTAAAAATAATCCAGCTTTCCACATCTGCTCAGACAGCAATACTATTAGAAAGACAGAGTCAAGAATGGTGGCATTTTCAAAACATGTCTTTATATTTTGTAAACCAATTACCAACCAGTTCTCAAGAACACAGAAGAGCCTTGCCCTAAAGCCTTAAAGCCTCATATAGTAGCATGACCTATCAACTAAGGATGTTTTTCTTTGTATGTACAGCATATTAAGAACAGAAACCAGAAACAATTTCACATTGCATCATATTATATTACAAGGAACCTCAATATGACCAAGTCAAATGGAATTTCATCCTATTGCATCTAGGACCTGAGCCAGCAATCAGGAAATTATTTTAGGAACCCACTTGTTCAGAAAACCTTCCTCATATCTCCTCTGCACTGTCATCAACTGCATTTTGGGGACAAACTACCTATAGGTTTGTGGCAAAATGGGAGACTGCTATGCTCAACCACAGACAGACTTTGTTAAAAGTTATAGCTAAGGCATAACAATATATCCTTTATGCTTTTAAGTGAGATGTAGTACCCAAGGCTTCTGCAGAGATGGATTTTTATTTATGTCTTTAATGCAACTGATCTGATTTTAAACCCAGGCTCCAGATACTCCACTAAGTCCATCAGAACAAACTCAAGCTCTCATGGGAGCTATTAATATCCAACACAACTTTAGGCATGAAAGTAAGACAGTTTCTAATGGTAAATAGAATAAGCTGCAGGAAAAAGTTGCCCGGTATGCTGTACACATCTACAAGCTCTCGGAGGTCAGAAAGTTGCACAAACATCTGCTAGGAGCAAGTTAGCTAACCCTTTCCTGGGGAAGTGTTCTGCACAACCTCTTGGGTTCTGTTCCAGTTCTACAGATTTAAGTTTCTGTATCTATATAATCTAGTGATAAATAAAAAGAGCTCTACTTACACTCATACTCCAACTACACTAAAATGACTTAGGAATTTCCCACTAAGGTAACAGTTTCCTGCTAATGTTTTCTTCACAAAAAAGTCAAAGGCCATTTGTGGTGGAACATGTGATTTTAGATTAAAATAATTCAATGAAACAGTGTAACATTTTAGCTCCCCTTAATGTAAGAAATTAAAAATTTGTTGGTTTTGCTGGATTTTCATGTCTGAAATTGGACTGCAGGAAAACCCAAGCAGCTTTCATCTGACTGAAACTGCAACAAATCAAGTTGAAAAAAACGGTTAAACTGTTCCTCTTAGTGGATACTTAAAGGCTCATCAGGAGAGCTTCAGGAAAGAGGTACAGTTTTTTTAATACCAAGAACAAATAATTAATTCTCTTTTTCTAATTTCTTCTGTAACTGGAGTTCTAAATGAGTAACTTCTCACAGCTCAGCCCTGAAAATGCATCCTCTACCTCCTACTTTACGTAAGGACAACAGGATTAGACAGCATCTCTTTTGGTCCCACACATCTATCTTATTAGAGAAGTACAGGTATTCAGCAGATGTGTGGGCTGACAGGACAAGGCAACCTCTTTTTGATACCAAACTTTGTCAGTATTTTAATTTGCTTGTAGAAATTATACCTCATTAAACATGCAATATTTTTTTTTTTTTTTTAAGATTTAAACAAAACATGTTTTCCAGGAAAAGGAAGATGTACTTTTTCCTTCATTAAACCTATAAAAAGCTTGCCAAACCCTGAAATGCTCTAGTAACCAAATTATTTTTTTGCTGCTCTTAACTGGATCCTTACAACTTTATTTTCCCCTCCATTTACCATCTATTCTGACTGGGTACACAATCAAAATTAATTCATAGTATCACTAACCTTTGTTGTCTGCAGCTATAAATCCAAGAATGTTTTCATGCCGTAGCATTACTGTTTGATAAATTTCTGCTTCACGAAACCATGAGCGTTCTTCCCTTGAAGAGAATATCTTCACAGCAACTTCTTCTCCTCTCCACTTCCCTCGCCAGACTTCTCCAAAGCGACCCTTACCAATGCTTTCTTGAAGTACTATAGTTCTTGCAATTGTTCTCTGCACAAGTAAAGGCAAACCTAAAAAGAAGATTTTAACATTAACCTTAAACATCACTCTATCAAAATAAGTACTTATGATAAGCATTAAGATCCATACTCCATTAAGATACTTCTACTAGAATGCACATAAACACTTTTAAGATTTTGTCAGCTTGTTAACTGCTAACAAGCATGTATGTACGATGCTCCCTTCAAACCTTAAAAGGCCAGCAAAAAAAGTACTCATATTATGCAACAAACTGCCTCTACAGTTGTTAAAAATAAAGCACAAACTTCTTTTCAGTTTAGAATTCTGACAGTTGCTGGTCCATAGTTTTATTTTATGGGAAAAAAAAACAAAAAACAAAAAAACAAACAAAAAAACCCCCAAACCTTGAAGCAATCAGGACCAGGATTAATGTGGTTGGCTCTTCTTTGTTTTTGTTTTGTTTTTTTTGTTTGGGGTTTTTTTTTTGACTGTATGCTTGTTTTAGGGGTTTTTGTTTGTTTTTTTACCTTTTTGCTGTTTGATTTGTTCATTTTAGAAAAGGATCTGCCTATAACTCTCCCAGCAAAGCAGTTCAAGAGCAATTTCACTACTGATCCATTTGCTTGATTTAGCACTAGATACGACTCAGTCCATTTCGAAGTTAAACCATGCTTATCAGCAACACTGGCTGTCAAAAGTTGACACTCATTCCCAAGTACACCAGTAGCCTGTTAGTACTCTCAAGCCACTGTAAAATAGGAAAACACCCCTGTAACGCAAGCTTCCCATTTTACAGGCCATTCTTGTGGACCTCACTATAATTATACTTGAGAAGAATGCTTACATTCACAAAGGTGTTGTAGCTTCAGAATGTCTAGATGCTTTCAACTCACAGCACTTCATAACATGTTTCAGTAAATTATGTAACAAACAAGCAGCACTGGCATCCCCCAACCAGAGTGGGCTTTTGTTTAGTTTGAATCTTTTCCGTTGTAACTGCAAGGCTTCTCATGGAATCCTGCAGTGATACTACAGGGCAGGATGAATGCATCAACCAGGTTATCTGCTCACAATAAACTCCCTTAGTATGGGATTATTTCACTTAAATCAAACACTTTACAAAGTAATCTATTACTCCATAAGCACTGTTCTAATAGCTGACAGAACAGCATCTGTATTTCCTTATGCTATGGAAAATAAATCCCAATAGCTCAAATAACTAGGTTCCTGTCTACCTCTGGACATTTTTTGCTAGATCAGGTCAGCAGCGCTGCCACACTTGTGTCTCAGGCTGAGGTGTGGAAATTAAAACACTGCAGTGTTCAGGAGTTCCTCAAGACTTCCAGACCTACAGGAATTTTCTCCACGATCTGACGACATACCTACGTGAAGAAAGGAGGGGAAAAAAACAGACACCATACCAGTGATTTAATCACTGTCAGATGCTGCAATAATTCCTACTGAGAAAGTTAAAATTTTTGCTGTAATAGCTGTCCTCAGGTCAATTGCGCTGCGTGTCCAATCTGTAAAGGCTCATCTGTGAAGCCTAACTTGCATTCTTCATGGACAGACTTTTGAAATGCAGAAGAGGCCAGTCTAGAACAACCACAGGACCAAACTCAATCCTGAAAATGCAATATTTGACTTTGTTGGCCAGAGAAATCTTCCTCATTAGCACTCATGTACTACCAAAATTCCACTGGCAAATGTTAAATACAAGCTGATTTTGTATACTAGAAATGGGTCATATGACTAATATTTTTTTTTCTCCTACAGCTGTTTCAGAAAACTGTTTGTACAGTTTTAGATGCATTGTTCTCAACTTGCTATACCATTTACAGACATCTCCCCTTATCTTTTGCTATACCATTTACAGACATCTCTCATCTTTAAAAGAAAGATTATGTCCGAAAACAGATACTGACCCCTAAATCTTCCAGACATGAAGTATTTCAATTTCACATTACAAACACCCAATCATCATGTTAACCTATCACAGTACAATAAAAACCCTGCTAACTGATTTATCCACCTTGCTCCTATGCTTATTTTTACAATATTTACAAGACTTAACTTGCTTCTGTTTTTTCCAACTGTGCTTTCTCTTACTACTGCTGCTGAGCAAAACCAGGAGATTGGAATCCACATCTACCTTACATCCATAAGAATTTCTTACAGACTTTCTGTTGCAACTGAGCAGTCTCCTCTTTTTGCTATAGAGGAAACACAGCCATGTATTGTCAGGAACTCGAGCAACTGCTTTACTGTAAACCAGACTGCCCGAAAAGTAGCTCCCTGGAGATAGCTACAGCGTTGGCCACAACTGTACTTCAAGCTCTTGGAGTACAGCTTCTTTTAACTGGGCATGAAGAAAGACGACAGTCAGTTTGCTAATTAGGAGGATGAGAAAATTCAAGCCCGTGTTATATTCAACAGCAGCTCACGTTTGGCATCTTGTATTAGGCCATCCCACTTTTCCCTGAAGCCTTCATCATAGTCTTTGTACATCTTAAACTATCCTCAAGCCTTCTGAGAGTTTAACAAAAGTTCTTTTGCTTTTCCATATCTTAACTGTACTGTGATTAGTTTGGACCAACGACTGTCCAATGCATAAGAAGTTTGTAACTGATTTGGATAATTTGGGAATTAAGGAATTAAGTTCTAAAGCACTAAAGGCAGCCAACAAAAGTAGCAGCCAGAACTTTGTTCTTGTCTCTGCCCAGAAGATGATTTCTGAAGAATAATAAAAAACCCCAGCCCCATGAGCCGCGAAAAATCTCATTCCCTCCAAGCTTCTATAAACCACAGATAAGTTTAAGGAGTTTTACATTCACTTAACTGACTCAACTTTACACTGATTTTTGTGACCCTCTGGATTTCTTAAGACTACATTCCTGACTGAAGTCGCCTACCAATAAGCAAAGCTTCTCCCCTCTGTTTTAGACAATTATTCCTATTTCCTTGCAACTAAGTTACTTTGTCATTTGGGATGCCCAGCTGTTACTTTCCAACTCACAATCTGTCTACACAATATGTACTTGATATTTAGAGATTTGTATCATGATCTGAAAAATCATTGTCAGCTCCAGGAGACTTTGAAATCCTTCTCTTAGATCCTTCTGTTGAAGCCGCAGCTTCTATTTTAGATGTTTCATCAGCTCTGTTCACCAAGCCTCTAGCTGTTTCAGGCCTTGTTTTTCATGGAACAACAGGGCAATACTAACCAAAGTCAAGACTGAATAATTAATAACAGCTTACTATTCATCGTTGCAGAAAATGAATCCTACTTCCCTTCTGATCTGAGTAGGAAGCTCATTTTTAGAGTTTTGATCACTTCTCTGTTTTACAGGCTTCTCTTCAGAGAACACCATAATACGAAACTGGCTTATTTGACTAAGAGCTCTCTTTTGGTTTCTCAGCATGAATTTAAGAGCACATATGTTAGGTCACCAAACTAAATACTTCCTTAGCCATGCCTCTGGGGCCTAGAATATTTTGACTGTTCTGTACATTTTCACTCTGTTTCTTGCAACCTCTTGCACCAACAGTATCCCTTTAACACAGTCTAGTTTATGAAAGGGTTAAGCACTATTTTAACTATGAGCTCTGACTTTTTTCCCTTCAGTGGCCCTGTTCCCCACCTCTATTCCATAAATGTACAGTCTTTGCAATTTTTAAGTGTGCTGTACCAGAGTCTGGATTAAAATACACATTTCAATGAGATTGAATTGCTGCAGGTATATTGGGACACAAGGAAAGTACCATTCAAGAGCTAGGTCACTGTGAATTTATCTGGTCAACAGGTGATTAATCTTGAAACAAAGTGATACAAGTCATTGCAAATATATACACTGCCAACAGTACAGAAAGTAAGTACTTGAAGCACCTCCTATCCCACCATCATAATAAAAAGGATGTATAGAACAGTAAATAAGGCTAATACTTGTCTTACAAACAGCTGAACAGCATCGATCTTACTGCAGCTGAATTAAAAGACCACTCAAACATCCAGTCTTGTTTTACAGGGAACATGGCTTTGTCTTTCAAGCATAAAAACAAATTAGTGAAGAGCTTTCCTTAGGGGTAAGTCAAATTCAATCGTATTTGTTGGTTTTCTCTCTCTGATGCAGCCATCAGTTGCCAATGCTCAAATACTACAGTAAGTCAGGTGTGCAGGGAGTCCAGGCCAGCCTGAGTGTCCTGAAGCTCTGAAAACAAAGTAATTCCCTGGCATGCTGCTTCTACTGAAAGTGCTATTTGAAAACAGGCAAGGGAAGAGTCATTAGTTTTTAACCGTTTGCTCTGGAGGAAGAATCCTAAGTTTCTTCTAACTGGTATTCCCCACTTTTCAAGAGCTTATTTTGAAGGAGTACTTCCAGAGTTTTCAAACACCGAGAGGCTCAGAGGGACCACAGGGAAAGGCCAGAAGGAAAATGAAGGAATATTCCTGACAGCAAATAGAAAGGCCTATTGACAGCTAAGTCTGAATTAACATCATCATAGGCCTGACTTCTGATCTAAAGTAGGGCAGGAAAACAAAGTGGCAGAAGTGCTCTGATTGTCTACAGAAGTTAGAAGGGCACTAGTAACCAGATAGGACTTTAGAACAAGTATGACTAAACAGTTTCAAGGGGATGCTTTAAAAGCTTTCTTTCCTGGGTTTACTGAAGCGAGAGCAGCTAGTACATTGCAGATGACTACCTATACACATAGAACATACACCTGCTCTTTCAGGGTTTAACTTTTTTTTTTTTTAATTTAGAATTTCTCTTAAGCCTTTTTTAGGAGAAGTCAGTACACCTGCAGACAGTAAAGACTTTTATGCTCCTAATAGTGTAAAAATTATATCATAGCTTCCTCCATTCCAAGAAATGTAAATCTCTGGCTCCTTCATATTCTCTAAGCCTCTTACTTCTGCTGCATACCCTTCTGAGAAAGAATGTAACTGGAGAAGTAAGCTCAGCACTTACGCTGATCAAATTCTAACCCAATATATTGGAAGCTCTAGTAATCACTTTCATTATTTTAGTTATCGCTGCTAGTAAACGAGAAAACTGAGACAAACACAAACTACTAAAGCTCCAGTTCCAGACAGAGAGCAACTGGCGCTATCATGATCAAATCTTATTTGGACACAAAAACTTTTTCAACGGAAATATAATTGCCTACACACTCAGTGCAACCTCACCTTTTTCAGTGAAGATATGACTAAAGATGACTTATTCTGACCTATATTCTAAACATGTTCAGCAAGTTACATTGATTTTACTTCATAGAGCAACAGAGTCTAAACAGTTTTACCAGGTATTGCCCTTGGGAAATAAACACAACCTAGCCTCTTGGGTTTTGTTGTTACAGTTTTTTCCAATTCTGGGAAACTTAAGAATTCAGCCTTTGAGAAACAAACACCAGTCTTTCTTTGCAGAAAGTACTCTGAAAGGGCATGGATGTTTCAGCACATACATTTGCAAGTAGTAGGAGTAATTTTCAGTATTAAGTTATTTAAATTTTTCATATAATAGAAGGCTGAGAAGAGGTTGCAGTACACAGTCTGATGTCTTGCTCCTTAACATGGACCAGAGATTAATTCATTTATACAATGACTCCTCTGACACATATCCCCTATCAGTGCCTACTAAACCATTTTTCTGTGACACAGACCACCACAATCCCATAAGCAACGATGTCAGGATTATGAAATCAGAGACTATATGCAGTGATCAGACTACTGCCTCACGTTCCCAGGGCAACACGTGTTAAAATCAGAATTAAAACACAAATTAATGAAATCAAGTGATAGAAATTCTTTAGACGTGGTCTGCATACCACATCCATTCTATACACATGGAATGTCTATTTGCAACTGGAAAACTACTTTCCATAAGGAAAGAACTGGCTAAAATATTAACTCATACTTGGAATTCAGAATATTCTTCATATACCAATAGCTAGAGATATAAATGATTTTTCAGTTTAACGCCAAAAGAGAAAAACTTTACAAATTATCTCAAAATCACAGAAGACAGTAGTTTAGATATACTGTGCAGAACAAAACGGTAAATGACTGAGCCTGACTAAGAGAAGAAACAATAATTTACAATAGTTGACTGTGATATTCCCTGTGTATCAGACTGTACTCAGAATTATGAGGAACAGGAGAGACATACTGAATTGCTGCTAATTTCACTTATTTCCATATATTGAATCTTCACTGATATTGAATGAATCTACATGGAAGTAGCTTTTCTAGCAATTTCTCCCGTTAATATAGATTTAAGTAATTTGATAATATTAAAAAAAAAAAAAGCATTACATGGCTCTTAAACATAGAGTAATTATTACTTAGAAGTGTGACATTACCTGACCCAGAGCCTGAAGTTGTCATATCATAAATTAAATCCTTTAAAGTAGTTCCTTCTGATATAAAGGGACGATCTAGTGAGGGATCTTCTTCACTTGGCACACGATGATGAATTACAGTACGATTATGACAAAGATATAGAATCAACATCAGTGAAATGCAGACAAAGCAGACAGGTCCAGCAATGACAGCTGCCAATTCCACAGGTCCCAGATTAGAAGCTGGTTTTCCTGGAGTAGGGCCTGACAGTAAAAATAAAAGAAAATGGTGAAGTTATTTCTTTCCTTTTTATGCAACTAAGTTTATCATATTTCGCAGTGAACTTCAAATTATTTCAATGTATTTGTTAAAACTTTTGCACAGTGACTTTTTCAAGAATCAAAACAAGTATTACAAAGGACAAAAGCAACTATATGCTTACTCAGAATTTCCATTTAACTTGCATATAAGTCTTCAAAACTGGACTTAACATCCCCATCCAGAAGATAAAATTTCAAGAGATTTGGAACAAGAAATTTAATTTGCAGAATCTAAAGTGTATTTTAGGCCTTCAAATTCATCTACAACTTCAAAACTAAAACTTCCACTCTTACAACATTTTCTGGTTAAAAAAAAAAAAAAAAAAAAAATCAAATACGTCCAGAACTCTTACCTGGTGTTGGAATTGGAAGTTCTATTTTATTGCAGTGGTCTCTGTCACAGCAATGAGGCACAGTAATGACTCCATCTCTGGAGGAGAGGGCACACACAAATGGCCTGTCTCGAGGAATCAGATCGATTTCTGCTATACACATACTATTGTGTATGACTTTGTCTGCAGTTCGTGTTACTGAGGTAAAGCAGAGCCCATCTGTCACACAGGTAAAGTTGTCTTTTGTGCAGAGATGGCAGTAACACTGTAATGCTGTATTGAGAAAAAACATTACTGTTAGTATTGGTACATGTTCTGAGTTGAGAAACAACTTGAATGGCTAAAGAAATAAAAGTTCAAAACACTAGGAGGCTTATTATCTTTTTGGTTACATAAACACAGAACTGTAACACTAAAGAACAACTCTACAAGGCTTTTTAATGGGACAAAAAAAAAATACGGAGATTAGCAGGTGAAAGTAAAATTCAAAGCTGAGGTCACCTCTTCTTACACAATTATGTATTAGAAGAGAAAGGCTCCAATCCTAGATGTTTCTCCAGGTACAGAAGTTCCATTACAGTTCCTCACTTTTTTCACAAATAGGATGCTGTTGGCTACTCAAGATTAATACTTTAAACATTACTTGATGGCTTCAATTTTGTGCTGAGGAAAGGGCATATAAAAGCTTAATCCTCATTAAAAAACAAACCCCGAGTGACCTGAGAACATATCCTTTCACACAAGCAGAATATAGTTTAGACTTGTTATTTGTGAAGCCACAGGAAAACACTGCCTTACATTACTCAAGTTCCTGGTTTATTAAAGCTATCAATTGCACTAGTAAAGGAGGAGGGCATGGGGAGGGAAGCAGGAATGACAGATGAAACATGTCTTAAGATGATCAGGTTTCATTCTTTAAATTGCAGAAGTTCTTGGAGAAGGAAGACTACTACTTCAAATTTCTTTCTTCATTCCTTCCTGCACTTACAGGACCAAAGCCAGACAGAAACGAGTGCAGCAGCTACAATTAAAATATCAGCACACTCCGACTCCACTTGTTCATCTGTGGAGAGCAAAAGCTAGCATGGAACTTCTGTATGTGCATGTAGATAGACTAAAATACAGAAATTTAGACAAATATTCATGCCCAAAACACAAAAATGCACCGATCCATAACCAAGACTCTTTCAAGGGTATATACAAAATCTCACAGCAAAGGTGTGAGAATTAATAGGTAGCAAAGCAAAAGCTGCTCCAAAACCTGAAATTTTCGCTGAAATTCAAGAGTTTAAGATAGCCACCTGAATTGTCTTGGATTTTACACCTCTCTACCACTGGATATCACAGATGTAAATAAATGGCAATCTGATCTCAAATATATATTCCACCTCAATGTCTTGATTCCCAGTTGTACCCCTTTCTCTGAAAACACCTCCTTCCCCCAAGATTTTCAATCGAAACAAATCATCCTCTACTGTTACAGAAAGATATAATAAACTTCTTAGGACCAGCTACAGGAAGACAACCCATGTTTCAGAGTCACCAGCCCATAGACCAGTCAGAAAAAGGGAGAAAAAAACATGAATGGAATTGCAAAACTATTTGTATAGTATGAAGATTACTGAAAAAATTATAAGGTATACGAAATGAGAACCGGCACACCGTTGTCAGTAAGGCTCCTTAACAGCACCTCTTTTTTAAGATGCAATTTCCCACTCACACCCATGCCATCAGATAAGTAAGGAAAGTCTTATTATTCAGTGTTTAACTATGACAACACTTAACAGTTCTTTTCCTGGTGGTGTGCCTTTGGTAATTTATACTCGAACAAATTATTTTTTTAACCCATTGGAACCATTTACATTTTCCTAATATATTCACTGATATTTCTTTCAATTTTCTTAAGAAGCAGGTCTATCTCACTTGCTTCATCCATGAGTTTTCTTCTATTTAAATAATATTCTTGGCTCATCATAACCATGCACGCATCTGAATGCCTACTGTAAGAGACAGATATTCAGTTAGATATATTTACATGGAGTCACTGTACAGAGTGACTTGAACTAAAAAATGAGGTTTGGGTTGACTTTGTTCCACTTATTCATCTTCTCGATCTTGTGAAGTTGCAGAGACACAGTGATACCACTACAACTAAATAAAGCATTTGGTGTCTTATCTTCCTCATGCATTTTGTTCCCACCTCTTTCTTGCTACAGAATTCTCAATGAATGCAATTTGATACAATTTATACTTCTGTTCCACTTTGATGCCACTCTCTTCCAGTCCCCTGCCAAGGCACGGTACACTGTCCCACACAGCTCAAGGGTTTCCTCAGCACAAACAGATCACTACTTCCTTCCCAAGCCCCTCTCCCCCTCCATTAAAAGCAGAAAACAACGCCTTACCAGCTGAATAGCCAAAGCTTCTAGGAATACAGGTTTTTGCTGCTCTCTAGTGGAAATACTCTTAAAAAAACCCCCACATTAGAAATATTTCAGCCTCTTCCTACTCTCACCATTTACAAATCTTCATGCCTTCCAACTCAAGTGGATAACAGCGGGATTTCCACATTTTATTAACAGGAAAACTATTTCAGCATCTTGAGCAACAACCCATACCAAAAGGAGAGGAAATGAAACTGGAATATCCTTGCCCATGTCTCACTCTCCAGTTATCTATATGTAAAAGAACAGAGACTGTGGCTATATGAACACATTGTAGATGAGATTTAACATCAGTGGGATGAGGAGATGTCAATGACCAACTGTAGTTAAATCACTTCAGTCCCATAAGGAAGTGCTTTCACTTATAACTGATCTCAAAGAAAGAAATGTCCTATTGTTGTCCTCTTAGAGATATAATTTTTGCCTTGTCTCCAAGTAGTCCTTGTTCTCAGAGAAACATTAGAGTAATTTTAAAAACGCAGACAGAAACCAGCCAGGTCTCTAGGCTCACTTAAATTAATATGTACGTTTCTAGTTGATAACAGGATGTGATGAGTGAACAACTCTGATGTTGTCCAGTGTCAAAGCCACGAACAGAAATTGGGTCACCAGAGTAATTTAGTGCCGCCTCTGTTGCATTTTCTCACTGTGCCACCACCATCCTACATATTCATTCCAGCTTTAAGTGACTGACTACCACAGCAGGAAACAGTGAGACAATGCAGTTACAGAAGTGTGTGTATTATGACACATATCATGTCATAAGAGTTACCAACAGTGTACTTCCCATAGCTCCATCTGATTTAATAACAGATTAACCTCTTGTGTTGAATACAATTACTTGGGTGATCTCTCAGGCTCAGACTCTCAGTTTGACAGTGGTATACTCCCTTCAAGAAGTCTCTCTTCCACGGGTGTCACGGCCCACAGTGAACGTAAAGCAAGCTGGCAGCATAAACTAGACACTGAAACTACACATCTTGATGAGACTTAAACCAAGCTGGTTCCCAAGAGCTCAGATATTAATCCTATATACAAAATGTGAACAGATAATTAAGTACAGCCTATCCACTTAACTTTTAGAGGTCTGTACCATTAGGTACCCATCAGCCTTTTTTGTATCTGTTGTCTTTCTGAAGAAATCTGCACAAAGCCTTTATTTTTAGAACTACATAATACACTATGATTCACTATATAGCACTTGCTAACACCCTGCAGAACTACTTCAACCAGACAGTTCAGCACAGAACACCACTTTCAGCCAAAGAATTTGTGGTTGGAAACAGTATGTTGAAATACTGTCTTTCAAAGGATGCTAACAAAGGGTCTTACAGCAGTTAAAACCTGTGAGGTGCTCTAAAAAAAACACAAATGCACATCTCATTATGAGTAATAAACAATTTTACATTAATACTTTTATTTTACCTTTTTTAAATTTGCAAAACAAAGATGAGACAATCTCGGGCCCCCAAAAACAGCACTATGTTGAAGAATAAACTCCAGATCCTTCTCTTGTGACACTGTAACTCTTCTCTCATGGAAAAGACAACTTTTAAAACAAAAATTTCACCAGAAAGCAGAACTTCAGAAGAACAATCAGGACTCTTGGTTCCACAAGATGTAGAGTGTCAAGGTATAACAGAGCAAGGCTCTGATGTGCAAGAGACAGTAATAGATTTTGGGGACGGCTGTAGTGTTTACTGGTAGGTTTTTATTCCCTTGTGAAAAAAATTGCCAGAAGCAAAAGAACGTAATACAGAAATGTGCCGCCTGCTTCCTCCTAGTCTCTTACTCAGACAATCCCCCCAAACAATACACCTGACTCATCTCTGAATTCTTCTAGCTCAAGATACAAAAATGTTTAGGTCTTACAATATCTGAGACATGGGTATGGTTTTCTTTAACCAAGATACTTCATGACCTTTACTAACCCATTCTTCTCGCAAAGGCACTAATTAAGTTCATCTGTTGTAAAGTAACAGCAGTAGATATCAAGTTTCCAGGACAACTTTCATATACATTTTATTTATCTTTGTTAAGCAAAACTTCCACTGAAAAGAGCAGGTTTTGGCAACCAAAGTGATGCACTCAATAAAACAAACTACTTTATTTGCAAGTTGAGGATAGCGCCTTAATAATGATAAAGCCTTGTGAAAAAAACCCAGCTTCAAAAAAGCAGCATTATATTCTCCGTAGTACAGGTGTCAAATGGCACTATCAGTTTTTTTGCTTCTCATAGATATGTTCATGCCTCTTACAGCAAGATAGGGTAAAAATTTGTTCCTAGTATCTTTCATAGAAGAATATGCTTTAGAAAAACAAAAGAAATTTAAAGCTAAAAGACTGGGTTTTAATTTACCAGTGTTATGAAAACAGAAAGACTAAAGATCTCCTTCATCTGTACTTTTAAATTACTTTAGCATACCAATCAGATTTCCATCTTTATTTCCAATTAGGAGCACTTGTATGAATGCAAGAGTTTCCAAGAGATCACTCCCCAGAATTCTGGGGAGACCAAAGACTATGGCTTACACGGTAAAAAGAACTAAACAAACCAACCCAAATTTCAGACTCGGTCTTAAAAATTAGGGCTGTTCTACTGTTCAGCTAGCTGCTGTGAATCATTACATGCCTGATCTCCATATAAACCATATCACAAGGCGATTCATTATCACAGTAATGTTAGTATGTTGTGAAACAGCAGCATCAGAAGCAATCAGAAAATGTCGAACTTTCGTCAACCCATGACAAGAATACTAAGTAATGGTAGCTAAATCATACCTTGCACTTCTTTGTCAAGTTAAACCACAACGTTCAGACAAAATAAAACCTTTTACTAGGGGGACAGGACCTGTCTAGGAGTTATGGATCATGAACCCTGCAGACGCACCTATTCCCTTGGACTGGAAGGATTTATCCTTTTTTTTTTTTTTTTTTAAAAAAAAAAAAAAGGTAGCACACACTTCCATACTTAAGCTTTTATATGGAAGTCTATTGCCTTGTTTCCATGTAAAGCTTAATTTCATGACTGAGATTAAATGAAAACTGTTGACTGATCAGAGACATTAAAAGGGAAAAGTTCAAAGCTCAAATCAAGGTAAAATTTCCTTCAACATCTAAATTGGGTGTATTGCATAAGAAAGCTTTAAATTATTAAAGCCTGCTGCACTTTTTAAAGAACACAAGAATCACCACAGGTAACTGAGGATTATTTTACTGTTTCCACAGATTCTCTGTCTTCTTCAATAGGAATATGGGTAACTAGCACAGCATTTTAGCATAGCAAGTTATGTTTTCTTTAAGTAGTATTTTCTTTACAGCACAAGTACCATCTTAGATTGAATTACAAACAGCACAGTAAAAATCCAGATCAAGGGATGTCCTATAGCTGTAATTGAAGAAGAAAGTCCTGGTGCTTCTCCTCTTCAAAACCTAAAGAAATATACAATCCACCTACAGAAGAATTTAGGAGGTGGACTGATTATAAAACATACAGTTTGTGTGTCTGTCATCATCACCTAACTTGCTACAGATTAAACTGAAAACTAAACCAATTACAGTAAGGTGCCTATAACATTTACAGGCCCCGTGAGGACATACTGCCCAAACTGTTAACTAAAGAACAGAATAGGCTTTTTTTTTTTTTTTTCCCCAATAAATAAACAAATAAAATATATATTTTTCTTGCATTTCTGAATGCTATTAAGAACTCCCTTTTCCTGCATTAGCTCTGCACCAGCACCCCTCTGATACCACGTCTCTCTTACAAGAGCGCACAGGTACAGAAGGCTGGAGGCACAAGACCGTTTAGACTGCACGACATTCACCAAAGATTTTGTTTCCTCCCGGTTTGGTCCTCGCAGCGCGTCCAGGTTTGCCTGCAACCGAGGATCACCCCCCCCAACCCTCCCCTCAGTCACCCCGATGCCGGCTGGCGCTGCCAAGCACACCGCGGCGCGGCGTGTAACGGAGCTAAAAACCATCTGACGTGGGAGTTCGGGGGAGCCTTTCACCTTCGCGACGTGGAAACATGCAACACGTACCGCCAGCAGCCCACGCCGCTCGCCTCGCCTCGCCTCCCCCGGGGCACCGTTTGCCAGCGCGCCGAAGGCTCAGCGGCTTTTCCCCGCTGAGGGGTCGGGCCCCCCCTCCACACCCCGTGGGGCGGGGGGTCAGCCCTCAGGGGCTAACCAAGTTGCCTCAGCGGGTCACCGGCCACCCGTGCCCGCGTGGGCAAGGCCACAGCCCACGGAGGGCGCGGGAAAAGTTACGGCGGGCGGGCGCCACCCGCGGCGTTGCTCCGGGGCGTGTGTGTGTGTGTGTGTGTGTGGGGGGGATGTCAAGGGGAACCGTCGCCGGTACCGGTACCGCGCCCGCCCCTCGCCACCCCCCGCTGCGCTCGGCCGACAAAGGGACGCGCAGCCCGCGGGCCCCGCCAGGCTCGGACACCGGGGGGTGTGGGGGGGGGGACGGGGGGGGGGAAGGAAGGCGACTCCGCCCCAACCGGCCCCTCCGCCATGTTGTTGAAAGGAACCGACGGGGACCCGCAGCACCCCACCGCTCTCCTTCCACCCCCCCCCTCACCCCCCCCCCGGCACCACCTCACCCCCCCGCCCCGCCACGCGTGCACTCACCGGCCGCCCCGGGGACGAGCAGCGCGCCCACCACCACCACCACGCACAGCAGGGCCCAGGGCCGCCGACTGGCCGCTACCGCCATGGTCCGGTCCCGAAACCGTACAGCCGGGGGCGCGCTCCCGCGCCCGCCCGCTCGGGTTCCGCCTGGAGACGGAAAAAAAAAAAAAAACAACCCCCCCCCCCTCCCCACCCACCCCCCCCCCCCCGCCCGCCCGCTTCCCTCCCCCCCCCCCTCCCGCCCTGAGAGAGAAACAGAGAGACGCCCGCGCCGCCTGCGCCTCCCCAGCTCGCTCCTGCCGCTAATGTAACTGACGCAGCGGCGCCGCCTGATTGGCCGCTCTCCCCCGCTCCTCACCCACCCCGCCCCGCCCCCCGGCAGCTGCCGGGAGCCCCAACAACAACAGGCGGCTGGAGGGCGCGACCGAGGGGCGGGGTCAGGCCGTGATTGGCAGCCGGCTGGCGGCGCCTCGCTGAGGGCGGCGGTGAGGGGGAAGCGTGCGGGGGGACGGACGGACAGACGGCAAATAGCTGTCTGAGGTTCTGCTTCATCCTACAGCCTGCGGCAGCTATGATCCAGCCGCTGAAGAAAATTGCCGTGACGGAGGCTGTTACTTTTATCCTTAGCTTTATTAGCTTTTGCGTGGGTGGCGGGGAAGGAGGAAAGCCTCTCCTCTTCCCTCCTGGGATCAGGTAACCGCTCTCCCAGCAGTTTACCTGCTGGCTCTGGGAATCCACCCTGTTCCCCCGCAGCCCTGGATCCGTTACCTGGCTGTTACGTCCAGATCCTGAGTCAGTTCAGGGTCCCTCAAGCTCAGTGGATGCTTTTGTACTACTTTTGTTGCTTGTTCTGCTTGCTGTGTGACCCTCCAACCGCAGGACAGGCCGGGTAGGTTGCAGGTGCTTTCCCACTTGTTACCTGCAGTCACTCCTGCGGGCTTCACCCTCCCAGGGGGTGACCTCCCAGTTCCTAAGTGTTCAGGGCAGCAATCCCCACGCTCCTCAGTGCCCACTCCCTTCCAGGTCACACCGCTCTCCTCTCTCCTTTTTACGTGCAGTATTTCAGTCAACACAGCCCTTCTAAAAACTCTTGTTTCTCCTACAGTACAGTTCACCTGCATAAGACTCTGGATAATGTAACAGTTGAAAGTGACGTAAATTTTTATTAATTCATCCTCTTTCTCTTTCTTTCTGAGCAATGACCAGCATCATATATACAAAGACCCTAGTTGCCTTTTCTCTTGCAAAATAGTATTTTAATGACAGATGTCCTTTGTGACAGATGTTGGACCAAACATCTGGATTTGATATAGATTCATGTCGTAATGAACTACTGAAGTTGACAACACCAGGCAAACATGTTCTTAGTTATCCGTATGTAAAGGGCTAATCCTCAAGTAATATACTAGCATCAAAAAGAAATATTGAAACACTGTTAAAATTGCTCAAATTCCAAGGCACTGTTAAAATTACTCAAATCCCAAGGCATCTTTTAAATTCATATATAGCACTGCATCTATAAGTTAAGAAAATGGTATGCTTAGGGAAAAAAAAAATTTGCTATTCATTTCCTCATCATAGATCTTCTGGATTTAAGGATGGGCCACAGACAGTATCTCTGAAGGAAGGCAGGATGCAGAGCACGGTGAAGGTTTTCTTCCAGGGCTCTCAGTTCAGTCCTGCAGGGAGCATTCTGAATTAGCATCCTGAGCCATGTTTGGCTGCCGGCCATAGAAAGAATAAAACAAGTCAGTAACTTGCAGGTAACAGCTCACCAGCTATAATGGTTTCAGGTCATTTTAAAGTAGCGGACAGTGACACCACAAATTAAGTATTTTTGCCAGGCCTCATGCATGTTACTTCTTTCGTAACATGGATGAGATAAAGACCACTACTGAAGAAATAACTACAATTATGTCATCCCCTGTCCTGATCCCTGGGCACCTGTCTGTAATCTTCTGTACCACGTTAGATTCAAAAGCCAAAGTAAACCTGGAGCAGAAGCAGCAACTGCAAAGCTACTGAAATGGGTTCTGTATGTCCGGAATTGCCTCTTTTCTTGCCATGCTCCTATTCTGTGTTTCCAGATTCTTAGGACTGCAGCTCCTCGTCTTGATTAAGGTGGTGTCTAAGAACTTATGATTACGATACAGACTCTTGATGTTAAAAGGGCTCTGGTAGACAATTGGATCTTGTTCTTGTTGGAAGGTCACTGGCCGTGAAGGTCAGTGCCTACTCCTGCCTTAGCTCCCTCTTGTAACTGTGAGACTCATCCCCATGTTTTTCCATCATCTTTCTCCCACTATCCTGCAGTCAGTTCTCCTCTTCCGATATGTCAGTGTTCCTGTTCCTTCATGTAAGCTTCATAACAGCTTCTAGTGCAAGCAGGGGCTTTGCTGGTCTGGGTAGGACTGTATCTTTAGGAGGGTTATGTGAGAGGTACTTAGATTTTACTTGCTGAGTTGCACAGTAGTTCATGTTACATATTCTGTTTGATAATTAATAAAAAAATCTGTCTTTTTTGCTATACAAGATGGAATATAAACCACAACAATATCAAAATATATAAATATTATAAATATATAAATATATATAAATATTAAAAATATAAAATACAAATGATAGCCTGAGAAGATTTAAATCATCGTTCTCTCCCCGTGTCTGCAAACAACTGAATGACAAACCAAAGAAAATGAGGAGATCTTATTTATGACTGCACCTAGTTACATTCATCCTTAAATATGCTAGTTAGGCAAATGAGGCTAAGTCAGCAAACAGTTTTCAAGATATGTCTTTCTGTAAAATGACATTTTATTTAGGAAGAAAATAACTTCTGCGTTTTCATATTTTTCAAAATTACAATAATTGCGTGGCCTTTTTCTGCCAAAATAACATGCAAAAACAATGTCACTCTACAAAATTGCCAAGTTCAACAGAAAGCAACTCCTCACCATTATATGTTTAGGATATTTTAACTGGATGTATTAAATATTGTTCTTCAGCGTTTCATCTGAGGGAGTTCTTCAAATCACTTCTTACCTGGTTTAATCCATCTTTGTTTTCACAGTGCTTACTGAGAATGGAAATAATGTAGTCAGTGGAAATACATTTAGAAGAATAGGCAAGAAAAACATTTTGTCTAGCCTCATTTATGTCATAAATTAATGAATTTCCACCATTCTGTTTAATGAAAGATGCAACAAATTTAATAATTTTTAAAATGCAAGATAGAACACAAAGCAAGAGAACTTAGAAAATCCAAATCACCTGGCTTTATGAGATTTGTTTAGATCATCAAAATGGTTAAACCTATTTTAAAAATCCTCGCTTTTTAGATTGAGTAAAGCAGGTTATTATACAGGGAATATCTGCAATTTAAACACAGGATAATTTCTTGCTCCTGTACTAGAATATGACATTTATACACATATGCAGCACCCACAGGGAGAGAGGATGAAATGATTAATCTTTACTTGGTGCTAGCTTTATTTCTTGCAAGAATTATTGTCAGTTTTTGAATGTTTCTTATGCTTTCTTTCTGGAAGATGGAAAGCAAAGTATTTGCAACTGCATGGAAGGTTCAAACAGAACTCTGTAATCCAAAAACCCCCACATATCAAGAAACTACATAGACCATTAAAATATAACCAGTTTTGAAAAGGGACGGGTGGTGAGGTAGATAATGATACAAAATGAATTGTTCTATAGATCAGTCTTTGATTAAGATCAAGGATATGAATGTTCTTGCTTTATAAGCTGATTTATGTAAGAAAATGGGCACTGATAAATACTTTTTTTTTTTTTTTTAGCTTATAAAGTAAAAATGTATGAAATATGGCAGGAAATTTTATTGAGGGTGAGTACTAAAAGCTTTATTACTCTTTCAGAGTAAGAGATACTGTATCAGGGTAATAAAGAGTTCTAATGAATCTTTCAGCAAGCAAATATGCACAGCTAGTGCTAGAGCAAGAGGAAATAAAGGTGTTGCAAAACCTCATTTGCAGTTTTAACAGTTTCTTTCCATGGCAATTAGCTAAATTTTATACGCTTTTTAAAGAACTATTCAGTGCATCATATATACAAATTATGTTCACCAAGGAACTCAGCAAGAGGAAAAATACTGAACGTGTAACATTTACCAAAACAACAGAATAAGCTATTTTCAAAAAAACCTCAACCCACCCAAAACAACAAACACCCGCCCCCACCCTACCAGTCCTAGATTTTCCCAAGGAATTTTACTCAAACTAGGACAGAAAGGATCAAAGTGCTTATTACTCTGCAATTTCTGTAAGCGCACAAATCGGAAGGTTTAGCAAAGATCTGTGGTCTTGCCAAATCAGAGACAGGCAAAAGAAAACACTTTTTTCAAGTCACTGCTTTATAAAAGACTCAGAATTACTCATTTTGTAGTCTTTATAAACATTGCCTGATTTGCCTCATCAGTGCTTCCAAAACTAAATACAGCGAGATTTTGAGTTATTCACAGCCCGGTTAATCATCTCCATTAACAGGCCAGTTAAAGCTTAAGACATAGGAAACCCTTTTCGCTTTTAATTCCGGGTCTGTGAAGCGCAGCAGATCCCCATCTCGGAGTTATGGCTCGGGCAGCCCAGCAGTGCACCGCGTCAGTATGCAGCTGCTTGATCCCTCCGGCTAACGCTCTGCTTATTGCACAGCAAACAGGTTTGTGGATATGTTACAGCGTTGTAAGTTCTTACTCTGCAGTTAAGCGGATCTCAGTGATGACAGTTTTGCACTGCTGCTGTTAAACCCATCGAACTTAGTGTTTTCTTCCAGCTTGTAGGGTCTGTCAGCTGCCGAGCTTGTTTCCTACCCTTACGACATCCAGCTTCATTTGAAATCAGCTATGAATGCACTCGGAGAGCAGTGTTGACTGCAGGTCTCATTAAAGAGAGGTATCATTTATGCTGAAAGCAGGGAAGAGGTATATAGTCCAAGACATGTGGCTAAACACAGAAGTGACTAAGACGACTGGTTAGCTTAGGGAGGGGTTGCCAGAAGCAAAGAGGCTGACATCAACAGGGTCTGGAAATGACTTTAGACTGTACGTCATTATCTATTTGAAGGCCTTATATTGCTGTAGCAACCCCGCAGCTGCATGAGTATCTCACCTACGACTGCAGTGAAGGATAGATGCATTGAAGT